AATTTACTATTCACATATATATATATATATATATATATATATATATATTTCAAGATAGATGAATTTCCTTGTAAGATACATATGAAGACTTTTGTGACTAACTATATATATTATATATATTATTATATATCTATTATATACAATGTACATCAAAAGTTTCAGCAAGAGAAAATCTTATGTTTTTATCTTTAAATTATACTATTGTTGCAATGATTATTAATTATATATGTATAGGTTATAAATGACACATGCTTTCTTCAAAAATTTTTGAGAATAAAAATAAACTAAAACAAAATATTATCGAAATAAGCTAACCAGCCTTGAAATTTATTTCAAAAAAAGAATTGCAATGTTCGAGAGATAATTGTAGTGCTTTTATTTGTGATAGGTCATAAGATACAATAAGCTATCATTTCTTATGAGAAGATCGTCTTGAAATCAGTCGATTATATGACGCAATATTATTATTATATTAAATTTATTTTATTAAAATATATATTCGTTATAACTTTGCCGATAAAAATAAAATTAAATACGATAATTGTTAAATATTAATTGATAGTTAAGATGATTTTAAATTAATTATAATAATCCTTTTTTTTCTTCATTGTTACTATCACGTTAAAAATGAAAACAAACTCGAATTACCAAGTTAAGAATTTCAAATTTTTATAATTGACATTGATTAATTTCAAACTAATATTATATATGGAAGCACTATATTGAATATGTATTCTATATATGTATAAATTTGTAATTCCGATGACCGCGGCTTAATAATCGATAGTTCATACTGAAATAAAGTTAAAAAACAAAACGCTTTGAATTATCTATTATTATTACTGTCATGCAATTTCTTTTTCACATAATTCTATCTTTCTTAATTTGAAAAAAATTTCGAATGAGAAATCGAGAAGGGTTATAAATGGTATGCTAAATTTGATTTATCGAATTTCAATTGGTTGCAGCAATCGAACGATATCGATAGTCTGATAATTTTTTTCAGATGTGTAAATACACATGAGTGACGTATTGTTCATTCACATGATCATTTATATATATATATCAGTCATTGCTTTAACCAATAGCACGATTCATACAGTTTTGACATTTTTATATGATCAATATTTGACAGTTAAAAATTTTTAATTTTTCTGCTATTATTGATATAATTGATATAATTTTTGAAAGAATAATAATCACTCAATATACTTTTTTACGTCTCACGCGGCGGGAGATTATAAAGTTCCTCCTCACAGTAATTCATAATGCGGAAGAATTCATTGACACTTGATGCACGAGATACATGAATATTCAGTTACATAAGTATCAAGTAGTACATGCGTAAACGGGATAGATGGAGTAATTCGAAAAACGTCATACAGCGACTGTGTTTAGTTTAAGATAATTTTCGATAGATGGCCATACGATGGCCATTCGTATATTGTTGTCTACTCTAAAAGCTTGTTCGATTCTTCCATTGGAAGGAAGTGTATATATTTTTCAGTGTCAAGAAAGTCAAATCTTTTAAGAAAAAAAATATTTGTGTATATCTTTAGAAGTGAAAGTAATTATTGTTTATCTTTTGTGAATCAATACGAAAAAAATTGTATAATAAATTTCATTTTTCGTTGGTATTCATTGGTGGGGATTGTCGCGCAAACTTTATTAACCTCAAATTTTACTCTCAAAATTGAAATTCGGAATACTCAATAAGCTGATTATATTAAAAGACGCATTTCCTGACAATTACAATCATATTATTAAGCATTAAGAAAGAAAGATATTGATTACTCGCAAATAACGGTCGAGATTTCGACCAGATTACCCCGAGACACCGATGACGAGAATGAGTTCGCAGCAAAGTCCAGCCGCGTTGCAATCAACGGTGGATCGTGAAAAAGTTTATACTTGGATAATTGAATTGTCTAATTCGGAAACGAGAGAAAATGCATTACTAGAACTTAGTAAAAAACGAGAAGTGGTGCCGGATTTAGCTCCAATGCTGTGGCATTCATTTGGAACTATAGCATCGCTACTTCAAGAGATAATAAACATTTATCCTGCTATTAATCCAGCTACATTGACCGCATATCAGAGTAATCGAGTGTGTAATGCATTAGCTTTATTGCAATGCGTTGCCAGTCATCCAGAAACTAGATCATCGTTTCTTCAAGTAAGTTTATTATACTATTATACCACAAATTATTATACTTTTTGTCATGAATCGTATTAATATTTCAAATGTTTATAATTATATATTGTAAGTTTAATTATCACATTAAGTTTATTTTTTTTTTTATTTTTTCTTAATTGTTTCTTTTTAGGCTCATGTACCGTTATTTTTGTATCCATTTTTGCATACAGTCAGCAAAACACGTCCATTCGAATATCTCCGGTTAACGAGTTTGGGAGTGATAGGAGCTTTGGTAAAAACAGATGAGCAAGAGGTGATCACATTTTTGCTCACTACGGAAATCATTCCGCTTTGTTTACGCATCATGGAGAGTGGTTCAGAGCTGAGCAAGACAGTAGCTACGTTTATTCTACAAAAGATTCTACTCGATGATAGTGGTCTTTCATACATATGTCAAACATACGATCGATTCAGTCATGTTGCAATGATTTTAGGAAAAATGGTATTGTCTTTGGCTAAAGATCCTTCTGCCAGATTGTTGAAACACGTAGTTAGATGTTATCTCAGACTTTCAGACAATCCAAGGTAAGTGAAAAAAAAAATAATAAAAAAGATGCAATACACAATATTTCTGTTAAAAAATAAACAAGGAACAAATAAACATATAAATATATTTTATAGAGCATTATTAGCGCTCAGACAATGTTTGCCAGATCAACTTAGAGATAATACATTTGCGACGTGTTTGCAAGAGGACGCATCTACGAAACATTGGTTAAATCAACTTTTGAAGAATTTAGAAACTGGTCCACAACCAGGACCTCCAGCGCAACCAGGTCAACAAGATCCTAGGACTATTGGCATGTCACCTCTTGCTTCTTAAATCGTATGCTTCCTTACATTCAAAAGGAATACGAAATAGAAAAAAATGAGAGTTCAACAGATTGATTTTACGGATTGAAGAGCGATCAATGTGTGATCGTAAGTTGTAGACAAAATGCCATTGTATTTTTGATCATGAAAATAGAAATGAATGCACAGTTTCACGAGAAAGTGATTATGCATTATACTATACATGACAACGATGGTGATAATGGCGACGATATCGATGATGTTTACAATTAACTAGAGAAATGATCAAATGTTCATTCATGGAAGAAAAGGAAGAGAGAAACATTTGATATTTATGAGATGTAGATTTGATAATCTCTGAATGGAATGAACGTGCACATTATATAAACGTGGAATCGTTTTTATGTTCTTCTGTATATCTTCTTTTCTGCTTCTTTTTTCTTCTTTTCTTCTTTGTCTTCTTTTTTATTACATTTTTCCTATTTGGGTAAATGTTCTCTTTGTTTGTAATTATTCTTTGTACAAAGTTTGTAAATTGAAAATACAAGGAAATATATGTATGCGCGCACGTGTGCATATATATGTGTACATAATACGTATACACATATATGTATATACGTATAATATACATATATATGCACACATGCACAGATGTCTGTACATATTTTTGTGCCTATTTCATCTTTTTTTAATACTAGGATCGTATTTTCCACAATTGTCATCTTGTGAAAATTCAGAAACTCGCAAATACGAACTTAAATGAAAAGTAGACAATTTTTTAAACTTTCGTTACGTTCCTGTCCATTTTTTCAAGTTCCACAATGGTTTCCTACAAGCATCGACGAAAATAATGTAGGATTATGCGGCATGTTGATTTTGAGAAGATATTATTTTAGGCAAATAATTTTTGACAATTTTACCTGTTCTCGTTTTATAATAGTGGTGGAATCACGTAAGAAGCTGCGAATCACGGGTGTATACAATTTTTCATCACCCGGCTTGCATTTGTTTAATCCTGTAATCCATGAAACGAGAAGTCC